AACAACTAATATATATATATATATATATATATATATATATATATATATATATCGTAAATCGCAAATAAGAGATGCTGACAATTCATAAAAATATACATTCTTAAACATTACATACATTCTTTCACAAAAATATATATATATATTAAATATATATATATATATTCTTCAAAAATGTATACTCTGAAGAAATGAATAAACGAATTAAAACCCTTTGTGATCGTTTCTTTTCTACGAAGAATACGATCTATAAAGCATTTCTTCCTTAAATAGTTAAATGCAACTCAATGTCATATTACAGAATAGACAATAGACTTTACGCGAGTAATAGCACGGAGAAATGGAAAGTACTTGGTATTTTAAATTTTTACAGTGCCGTTACGTTTTAATGTCATACGCATGAAAAATCAATAGGCAACGAGGAGAAGGTACTTATAGGACGAAAGTTTGTAGTGGGCAAGGTTTTTACAAGACTTGACTGCAAATATGAAATATATACGGAGCGCGTAGAATCGATTACGCATCTCCTCACGCAGTATTTCTATTGTTTGATATTATCGCGAAAATATTGAGGATTTTATGTATTCGCACATTATCGCATATTTTCGTCGCACTGTCCACTCGAATGACTCATTCGCTACGTGGTCGGAAATACAAATGCACAATGCTTTGAAAAACCTGCTGAATTTATTAAAACACTCATAAAATTAATGCATATTTCTATATTTCAATTCATTTAAGTGATAAATTAAGATGTGTTGATAACACTATTAATATCGCTGTTGTGAAACTAGATGATTTAAAGGTTATTTAAAATAACATGAAAATAGATTATTTAAAAACAAAGGTAATTTAAAAATAAATCAAGCTAAATTTAAAAGTAGTGTAATTTACATGATAAAGAAAGATGAAAGGGTTTCGCAAATTTATGCATGCTGCTGTGAAAGTTCAATGTCGAAGTCGACGAATTTTAAATGCACTTGTTCATGACTTCATGTAAATTTTTCGAAAGTAAGTAATGTCTACCAGAATAGCGAGTGGCAAAATAAACGTATGGAGTTTTATCGGTTTTGCTCAATTGCCAAATTTACGAGGCATTACGATTGTCCAACAAGCAGGTAAAATAAGTTACTTCTTTTCTCTGGGACTGTTCGTTGAGCGTAAATCGTCCAGTCTTTTTTGCGAATTAATAACAATATCCTCGCTGCATTTTCCCCTGAGATTTACTTACCTCGACTCACGTCGAACTTTACTTACCACCTTTATTGCGTTTCTTTGAGAAGTTTTTTCAACGAGCGTGACTATCGGATGACAGGCGGATATTTGCGATAAAACTGATCGCAGACCTGGCGAGTAATAAGAAATGGAAGAGAAGTAATCCTGAACGTGCGCGATCCTCGCAATTCTTGCAAAAAATCAAATCGCAATCATGAGTCATTCGAATGGTGATTAGATGCAGTCATATTTTCGCAGAAATATTTATACAGCAGCTAATATCGATACACTGACTTTTCTGTCGGGTGCACAAGGCAGTAATAAATAACTGGTTTCGTGCGCGTTTTTTGTCTTCCTTCGACATTAGAAAATAGTAAACTTTCACGCGGTTATAACCGCGGCAGAAATTGCAGAAAATCTATCTTTACAACGGGAACGGGTTGTAGCGCGCACGTAAAATCGTTATTAGCTTACGAGATGTAATGATGAACTACGACGGCGCACGATGCGAATATATGAAAATATGAGAGAAACGACTCCGACAAGATGAACTTTATTTCTTGTATCGGGCATCCATCATATTTGCCATTATAATACCATTAATTTAATTCGATATCGTATTTTATGCGCGTCGGACATATGCGATATATAAATAAATTCTTTCTAATGCGTTTGCAAGTTAGTTAAATCAGGAAATCATTTGCGATTTAATATAATAGAAGGAGACATCGCATTCGTATTATTGTTTTTCAATCTGCAAACGACCGTGAACTAAATATGCACTGTTCTCTGCAATTTTGCAGCTATCTAACCTTCAATGCTCTACGTTCCTGAAGACAATCGGTCTCATTATTCAATGCCACACGGATTAATTAATGGATATCGGTATCTCCTGTTACACGTAAAATAAATGCAAATTGCGTTAAAACGTTGAAAGGAGGATTTAATAACTAGTCGTCGTTCCACCTGACGTATACAACGCGATTCCGTTTTTTTCGGTTAATTGCAAAATTACAGGATGTACTTCTAAAATCTCGTTAATTCCGATGAAATTGACAAGCGTTCGCAGCCTTGTCATTTACGTACACACCGCACGTACGCCCGCATTCAGTGCATTCAATTTCGACACGTACGACCGCGCTTCTCAAAGCGGAGAAGCGATACATGGGTTAATTAACGTATACTCGTATAACGCGTCTGAGGACGCGAAGATTAAAAGTTTGGCGAAATTTTTCTGCGAATTATAGAACAGGCTGCGTTAAATTCGTACGCTTTCAAAGAAAGATGTAATTTCAGGTGGCGAGACTTGATTGACGAAGCTAACGTTCGGGTGAACACACGGAAAAAAATTAATCTTAAATCAAAAAATGAATTTTCATACATGAGCAAGAATATTATAATCTTCTTTAAAATTCTAGTCTTGATTTTTATTGAATTTGTGCAAGTATTATATTTTGTTCGATGCAAAATTAAAAATCTTCTATATGAAGATTATAATATTTGTGCTGATATAAGAATATCTATTTTGCACGAATAAATATTTGCAAAAATTTCATTTATTGCATCTGCGATAAATAACATTTTTCTAAGAAGATTATAATATTCTCTGTTCATATATATGAGAATATATAGTCTTGATTTGAAGCTAATTTTCTCTGTGCATATTTCGTTGTTACATTATAATATTCGTCCTTATACAATAATATCTATCTTGTATAATTAAATATTTGCAAAAATTTTACTTTTTACATTTGCAATAAATAAAATTTTTCTAAGAAAATTATAATATTCTTGCTCATATATGAGAATATATAATCTTGATTTGAAGCTAATCTTTTTCTGTGCATGTTTCGTCGTTACAGCGGTTCGCAGAACAACCTCCACTGCAGTTGCAACGGCACCACGTCGAACGGGGCTACGGCTACGGTGTGCACCGGTGGCGTTCTGGCCAGGAAGGTGCCGAACCATTGCGGCGCCAGTCCAGGACAGGGCAACAAGAGACCGGCGGTAGCGTTGACGCATCTCCCAAAGAGGCCACCGGTCGACGTGGAATTCAAGAACCTGGCCTACAGCGTGTCTGAAGGTAGAAAGAGAGGTGAGCCTCGAAGAAATAGCGACGATTATGCGCCCGGGAGAAAGTCCAATTTCCGTTTCTAGCAGAGCGCGTCGAGTCATTACCTAGCCGCGATTGTTATCGAGAGGGAAATAAAAAAGAAATTGTAACGGTGGGACGAGCAAGTCCGCCGACTTTAATCAAATTAACACCCGCTTATGTCTCGGAATAACGTATCGGCACGGTGTATTTTCGACATAGCCCTATCGATTCAATAACGGCTCGTTGGAACGAAGACGTAGATAATTCAGGACGTAAGAGTCGATCGGATTGAAGTGGCGAATCGAATATGCGGGGGGGCATCATCCGGTAGAGTTTTCCCCATCAACGTGTGTGAACGACCTGACCGAAAAAATCGATAGAAATGCACGGGCTTCAGTCGTTTCGGCGCAGTTGCATCGTCCGCGCGGTGCAGCTGCACCAGCGATAAAGAGGTCAGCCAGGGGTTTTGTCTGTACGAAGGATATTCAATTCGAATTTCGTATCTGTATGATAGTACTGGCGAATGTCGCGGCTTTGGCAAGATAGACCGTAACGAAAATTTTGGCAATCAGCTACGACGGAATTAGAGCGTTCACTGATTTCGTTCGTTAAAGAAAATACCAATCATTTTTGTACTTGCTAGATATATTGATTACATTAATGAAAATTTTATAGCGACGTGCATATTTAATATATCTTTCTTGCAATGCGCGTTATATATACGTGGCGATATACTTGGAAAGTTTCGATTCTTGATGCTTTTAAATTTTAAAAAGATTTACGGATCTCCGGCGACATAAGCCGCACTGCGGATAAAATACTTTCAACCGTGGACGTATTTCTCTCCATTTTTCTTTATTACTTTCGCTTTGTGTTGTAGGATATAAAACCATTCTAAAATGCGTAAACGGAAAATTCAGATCTGGAGAATTAACGGCCATCATGGGACCGTCCGGCGCTGGGAAGAGCACGCTCATGAACGTTTTAGCAGGCTACAAGTAAGCGCGGGGTCGTTTTGAACCGAAGATGAAACGGTGAACGATTTGAGCGATAATTTTAATTGTTTCCTCGATATCTTCCAGAACGTCGCACTTGAGCGGTTCGGTGCTGATAAACGGAAAGGACAGGAATCTCAGGAGATTTCGAAAGATGTCCTGCTATATCATGCAGGACGACCGACTCTTGCCGCACTTGACCGTTTACGAGGCGATGACCGTCTCGGCGAATTTGAAATTAGAGAAGGATATTAGCGCGACTGCCAAGAAAGTAGTGGTACGGAATATGCGGAATCTCTCTCTTTCCACGAGGTCACGTTATTTTTCATGATATTAAATCTGTGTGAATCGAATCGGCAGATCGAGGAGATTATCGAAACGCTTGGCCTACGCGAAGCCAGCAACACGCAGACTCAGAGCCTCAGCGGGGGGGCAGAGGAAGAGGCTGTCGATAGCGCTGGAACTTGTCAACAATCCACCGGTTATGTTCTTCGATGAGCCTACTTCCGGCTTAGATAGCTCTTCTTGTTTCCAGTGTCTAAGCTTGCTCAAGTCCCTAAGCAGAGGAGGTAAAATCCCCCGATTTTTTGTTTGTTTTGACGAAACTTCACGCGCTTCAAGCGAGAGGAAGATCGTTACCGATGTATGCCGATGTCCCTTGCAGGAAGGACGATTATATGCACGATCCACCAACCGAGTGCGCGTCTGTTCGAGATGTTCGATCATCTGTACCTACTTGCCGAAGGCCAGTGTATATATCAGGGCAACGTCGGTGGCCTAGTGCCCTTCTTGTCATCGATGGGTCTCGAGTGTCCGAGTTACCACAATCCAGCGGATTACGGTAAGTACACTCGATAGAGTTTCCATCATCCGGTCGATCCAAATTTCAACTGTCGCTTCTATTTAGTTACTATTGACTCTACGAAAGTTTACATCGCGATCGGTTTCGCGTCCGATGAACAGATTTCGGAATAAGATTAACCCCGGATAACGAGATCTTTGCTGTTCTGCGATTTGTTCGGTTATCGTTAAAAAATTGCTCTCTAAGAAAATTGCGTCAACGAAATTTTATTGATTCAGTGATGGAGGTCGCCTGCGGGGAGCACGGCGAGTGCGTTCACAAACTCGTGATGGCTGTGAACAACGGGAAATGCAACAATTATCAGCATCATCAAGCTGCCATCGCCGTGGCGCAGACGACGGTGTCAAACGACATCGTCAAAGAATCGCCGCAGGAGCAAACCAAACCGGAAGGCGCCGTTCTGATACCGAACGGAGTCGCGAAGCCGCCGGCTGGTGCGACGATGATCAATATGCCGGTTTCCTGCACAACGTCCTTGTTGGACAGCGCGGAAAGCATAGAACAGAAAGTTGGCTTCCCCACGAACGGTTGGGTACAATTTTGGATACTGCTCAAGCGAACATTTTTGTCACAAATGCGAGACATGGTAAGTGCGACGTAGATATTTTTTTTACCCGCTTTTCTAACGAAGATGCTCCATTATCGAGCAAGAGGCGTGTTTAATAACAGAATACTCGGCAAGGCAGATTCTTTCCTAGACTACTAATTATGTTTTTTTTTTTTAAATTTATATATATAATTTATTATATAATATGAATATAAATTTAAATATAAAAAAGAGATTACTAGGTATTTAAGATACCTGGCTTGTCGATATTCGATTTTGTTGAACATATTCTCAGTTTATATTGATGATATAGTTAATTTTAAAAATTGCAGCGCATTTTTCATTGTGAAAGAAGCTAGAACACGTTTCTTTATAGAGATTTCAATCTGCAACACTACTTTAAGATATCTGATTTTCATCCTATCACTCTTACAGACGCTAACAAGGGTAAGACTAATCTCGCATATAATCGTCGGCTTCCTGATTGGCGCGATTTATTACGACATCGGCAACGAGGCATCGGAGGTTATGAGTAATGCCGGATGCGTCTTTTTCACAGTGATGTTTCTTATGTTCACCGCCATGATGCCTACGATATTAACATGTAAGTGCATTTACATTAAGTGTAGGTTCACATAGCTGTGCCATCGCGAAGTGTATTTACGCAATTCGTCGTGTTGTCATTATATCACTTGTATTATCATCATATCACTTTTATCGCAGTTCCGATGGAGATGTCCGTGTTCGTCAGGGAACACCTCAACTACTGGTACTCGGTGAAAGCTTTTTATCTCGCGCGAACGTTGGCGGACTTGCCGTTCCAAGTGAGTAGAATTTACGGTCCCCGTAGTCCAATTAAAGCTGGACACATTGAAGCGACTCACGCGATGGTAAATTGTTGCAGATGGTGTATTCTATAGCCTACGTGATGATCGTGTACTTCATCACGTCGCAACCATTGGAGACGGAGCGATTTCTTATGTACTTAAATATATGCATACTGACGTCGCTGGTCGCGCAATCCATCGGTCTGCTGATAGGAGCGGCAATGAGCGTGGAGGTAATGACATCGATCGACAAAATATACCACTATCCACATTGGATCCACCTTTCTTATAGAGTACAGTAAAGAAAATACGCGTCGATTTTCCGTTTCCTCTCCTGTTATTTAGTCGACATTATCGTCCGTAGACTGGAGTATTCATCGGACCCGTGATGTCGGTCCCGATCATCCTATTCTCCGGCTTCTTCATTAACTTCAACGCCGTACCAAAGTACCTAAAGTTCCTCTCGTACGTGAGCTACGTGAGGTACGGCTTCGAGGGCGCCATGATCTCCGTGTACGGCTATAATCGGGCGAAGCTCAAGTGTTCCGACTACTACTGCCACTTCAAGAGCCCGACGAAGTTCCTCGAACAGATGGCCATGGAGAACGCGGTCTACTGGGTGGACGTCGTCGCCCTGCTCGGCTTCCTGCTCGTTCTCAGAGTGGTCGTTTACTTCGTGCTGAAGCTCAAGCTGCGATCTCTTCGTTAAACGCTCCGACAGGAGTACAGGACAGACAATAATCGATCACGTCATGACTCGACAACCGTCGTAAATTACGACCTGGATATCATCAAAGATCACACACATTCGTAAAAGATCATCACGCGTGCGGAATCAAAAACGACGAGAAAGAGAATTGCGAGGGATAGCTCGATCTTGAAAGATTGAGAGGGGTAGAATTGTCGCATTGACGAAAATCGTGGCTGTGCGGAAGGAATGTCGAAAAGAACATTGATTCAAACAATCATTTGCGAACTTTGATATGTGATTTGCGTCGTTAGAGATCGCGAGATCTTTCTTTTATTTTTCGTCTCTCTTTCTCTATCGAAATATAATATTTTTTATTAATTCCATTTCACGTAGCGTTGACGAAGGGTGCTTAATTATTACTGATTACCGTAGTGGTGTTTGCGATACCAAACAGAATGATCTCTGCCGTTGGCGAAAGAAGAGTTGACACTCTCTATCGTACTTTGTTAATTCGAGTAAGTAAAGTAGCTACCGGGAGTTACCGCGACGAGAACTCGAATCTGACAAAAGGCGAATCGTAATCTTAGGTAGGCGTTTAAGTAATTAGTCCAGACAGGAATTAGGCTACCTTGAATCGTGCGTTAACAACAGTAGGCCAACACGCGATGCGGCAATGCGTCAGGCTATCAAATTAAAGTTGCGAACGTTTATAGCCAATTACTACGAACTCGCCAGGAGCCTTAGGCCCATTTGAGATTCCGTGTCCCTCCAATGCGCGAAACGCGAACAAACTAGAGGTTTCTATAGGTAGGCAGGGTAGGACACACGGATTGTTAAAACAAATCTTTCATTATTCTCATCTTACATTATACATAATCATACATTATACAATTATATAATACATTATACAATTTAATTACGAGCGCGATAGATATCTCGGTGGTGAACAAATCGTAGAATTACGATCGTTCTCGAGCAGAAGTGATTCGCGAATGACACTCAGCTCGCGAATGACGTTTCCGTATCAACGAGACGATATAAAATCGTCACGTCTCATATAATCACGCAATCAATTTTTCTTCATATCGTAATTTCGTCAACGATTTACCTAATAGTTATAATAATTATAAGGGGGTGAGGAAAGGCTGAGAAGAGAAATGTTTATTGTAAAAAGCTCACACTTGACCAATCACTAGCTGCCTGAGCGTTGCTTCTAAGTGCGAGTACTAAGTGTTGTTACACTTATTATAGTATATATATGAAAAGAACTACTCAGATGGAAAAATTATATAGCTATATAAAGTGAAAGATGAGATAGATTACGCGTCAATGAGTATACTTGTTTTTAATACAATACATGATTCGCGGCCTACGAACGATTACATTCTTGCAAATTTATTTATTCAATGACAGATGAGACAATAGTGATTAAAATTATATTATAAATATTTTCCATTTATTTTGGACACGAAACTACAACATTTTGGTCGAAATTATAAATTATAATCGGTGCAATTGTAATTAACAGAAAAATCTTGGAAAAGCGACATATATAATTCAAGATAAAAGTTGATTTTGCAAATAATATAGAGCGTACTTTATTTCTAAATTAAATTAAAATACATTAGTTATGATATTTTTGCATATTACGCACATAAATGACCGATATAAGTAACAAAGAATATATGTTTCATATTTTTATTTACATTAATGAATGAATTGGCAAAACAACAGGGCATAGAGTCTATAATTTCGTAAAATTTGTAATTTTTTGTATATTTTACTTGATAATTTCCTTTGTAATATTTTCTATTACATCGTATTTGTTGATAATGATGTATCTTTTTAGTGATTTGTTAGTTGCATAAGTTATAAGAAAACAGTATTTATATTTTGATATTATTCTTATTTTATTTTATATACATTTAATTACATTATTATTATACGTTACCATAAATCAATTGCATGGCAAAAATATAATAAAAATACTTAAGATTAATTAAATACTTACGTACGAAACAATAATATATCGATAATCGCGATCTCACGAAAAGATATCAATACGTTATTTTGATGTTTTCTTGTCAATGTTTTCTTTTTCAATGTTTTCTTTTTCTTGCCATGTAAACTTAGAACAATTTTCATAGATAATGTTGTACTAAATATTAATTTCTAAGGAATTTATATAATTACAATCACTCATTTATTATTAGATAATTTCTATTTTATTTCATTTTAGAGATTATTAAAGTTTAAATATGTATGTATCTCTGGGAATATTACTGAGATTTTTATAAACTTGGTCGTTGTAAAGTATTTTTGCAACGTTTGCGGAATCGAATATCTTTCTTTCGTTAAAGAACTTGTGTGTGCATACTTTTTAGCCCATACAATTCTAATATTGAAAGATAAGAAGATGACATGTTAAAGGAACATGTGTATATTAACTTAAGCGGGATGGTAAATATATTTCTATATATTTCTATTTTTAGATTTATATATATCTTTCAATTATTCATTGATTATATTTGTACTTATTATTCGAAAGAATGATATATACGTAGTTCTTATGCCCAGAGAAGGAACACAATTTTGGAAAGCGCATTTGTGCCTGTGTACTGCTTTAAATTTTGCATTTTTATTTTATATATTATTGTATTACAAAATTCCATTTTTATATCGAGTTAGTCAATTAAAATCGATGCTGTCTGAGGGATTTATTATGTATATCAGAAGCATATTAATTAGCATTCTGCAATATTATGATTCGACGGCAATGAGGAAGAAGAGAAAGAATGTGACACTTAGGTACAAGAAAAGTCTTATCCGCCGCGACTAAAGATCCTTTTTTTTATGGTGGCGTTTGTAAATATACAGTATCCCAAAAATAGCTTTACATGCACGCGCGTGATACATTGTTAAATCAATAATTGTTAACGCGCTCAGACCTCGGTATGTTGCTTTCGAAAATTTTATTCCGAAGAAGCGCGGACTATCTTCATATAGCAATATTGATGTCTAAATTTTGTGTAAATTTTTCTAGGAGATATCCTCATCCTCATACAATCGAGATCTGAACGTGCAATATCCCGACCGATCGATCATCTCTTTTGATAATTCGCGATTAATCCCGAGCGTACTCGCTGATTGTGATATAATTTCTTGTGTACCAAACTTCAAACTCGCGCGAGATCCACGAGCGTGAAAAGAGATTGGAACTTACAAGCGAAATAACAATTGATCGTATCACGTGTTCTGTGTTCAAGGTTTTGCGTTATTGATATGCATAAAAAAAAATTAGTCTTAAATCAAGACTATAATAAATTTTCTCATTTATAAGCAACAATGTTATAATCTTCATATAGAAGATTTGAAGTTTCGAGTTAAAGTAAAACTTGCATCAATGCAAATTCAATGAAATCAAGACTACAATTTTCTAAGAAGATTATAATATTCTTAGAAAATTATATATGAAAATATCTGCCTTGATTTGAGATTTAATTTTTTTTTTTCTATGCATTGTAAACTCGCGATGATTCCGCTTGTGGAACAAGAGAGGAGCGCAAAATGCATAGCGAAAGATGCAAGGGTGCAGAAGCGTGACGAGAAATCCATTCGAATTCATTTGTCGCTTCTAGAACCATGTGTCTGATGAACACACACACACATACATACATCTGAACACAACACCGCCATACCGAGTACCGCAATCTTTTTCCACTATCGTGATTTTATATGGACGGAAAGAATGTGAGTGCGTTGTGTGACTGCGCGAGTGTGTACAGAAACGCGGGCGTAGAAGGGAATCTCTTTTTCGGGATCACGAGGAAGAGATCGTCCTCGCCGATTCTCGACGCTGATGTATTGCGTGTCTTGATTTTATCGAGGAACGTCACGTTTGTACCAAAGCACAAATGAATAAACGACTGTATCAATGGGCGAGTCGTCTTCCTTGCCTGTCAAGCTCGTTCACCGGAGTGTTTACGTATTGACATTAGATTTCCGTCGAGGAAGTACCGACCGGAGTGATATTGATAAATTGATCGCAGCACTTGCGAGCAAAGTTTCCCCAGGTGCAGAGATATACTCTGCGTATCAGTAAATATATACGTTTAGTGTGAAGTATTTATGGCATATCTGAATTGCAAACTTCGGACCGACGTCAGAGAGCAACATTGAGATCACGCATGTACATGCGACCAAGAAAGCTAGTTTTATTTTGAGTGTGTCTCTGACATGAAAGAACGATTTCATGTAATTTTGAGTGATTTTAAATAATGAAGAATAATCTTGTGAAAAATAGCAAAAAATCGTTTTATATTTCTACTTGATCTTCAAAGTTTTCTAGTTGCTCGTGCAACGTAGACATTTTCATCCGGCTCTCTCTCTCTCTCTCTCTCTCTCTCTCTCTCTCTCTCTCTCTCTCTCTCTCTCTCTCTCTCTCTCTCTCTGCTTCTCTTTCTTGGAACATTGTCAAAATGTCATTTGATCCGCATGTGGCTCGCATGTGGTCCAAGTTGGTAGCGAGCTGAAGGCCCAGGCAGCATTGCGAGTATTGCGATACGCAGTAGTCGAGCTGTTCACGTGCGTGATTGCACAGTAAGATAAAGGCTTGCATATCAAGAGCATGGAAAAACCTATAGTGCGGGCGAGAGTCGTGAAGGTTCTCGGCAGAACGGGTTCCCAAGGACAGTGCACTCAAGTCAAAGTGGAATTTTTGAACGAGCAGAATAGGCAGCTTATCAGGAATGTCAAGGGTCCCGTGCGCGAAGGAGACATCCTGACGCTGTTGGAATCCGAACGAGAGGCCAGGAGACTCCGTTGAACTGGAAGAAATAATTGTCACGTGCCCATGAGAATCACTGGCATCAGGAAATCCGCATCGGAATGAAATCTTGATATTCTGGTGGCAAGCACGCTGACGAAATTAAAGAAGAAGAAAAACTGGTTCTCACTGCGATTATCACTTTATCACATTTTTTTCCGCCTAATTTTGGAATAATGTATCAAACAAAAGAAAATACGTGTTCTTTTTATACTTGCAAAAAATGAAAGTTTTCTTGAGTTAACTTCTGTTTTATTTTCCCATTTACTTTAGTATGTCAATAAATTAGTTTATCTTATACATGCTTTATTATATATTATTATTTTTTAAACATGTCATGGAACATATATTCTTTGTAATTTTCGTGGAAGGAACTAAAAATAGCGGCGGTTTTTTCGGTGTCGATATATCGATAATTCTAGAAACATTCGATTAAATTTAGCCAGAGAGTCTAGTACGTCTCGTTCCGCAAGATGGTGACCGGATACTTAGGAATCTTCACAAGCCTTATGCATTATACAGATCAATATCTACAAGACTTCAAAGCATCTCTTTAGAGTGGTATTTTATAGTCACTTACTTTAAAAAACAATTTAAAAATATATATTTTAAATATATATTTTTGTCACGTATCGACTTTTAATTTTTCTTCAATTAATATTTGCAAGAATCATCAGCTTTTCAATGACGAGCAGTTAGCAACCACACCGATGGTTGATAAAAACAATAAGTTACACTAAAATGTTATCAACGTTCACACACTTTTGTCGGTCAGAAATATCGTTTCATTAATTCAAAACAATATAATCACGTCGCAATTACGTCGTTCCTCGCGCATAATCTAAAGTTCATCCCCAACTTTGCTCCAAATAATCATGAGAGATACGCGTCTCTCTTCTTCTAACGAATTTCAATCTTGCGCGTATGTTTTACAAATCCATATCTGTGGACACGTGCGCGCGCGTGTATATATCATACACGCGTTACGATTATCAAGCTACGGTCGGTCAGCTGACTCGCTGTCAAAGCACGCCGTCATGCACCCATACAATCACGCGCGATTAGAGACGCAGTGTGTGAACGGTGAACGGGACGGCCGCCGCGTTCGCCTTTCGTGGTTTGGTGGGGCCGGGAGAAGCAGCGAGTGTCAAAGTTTGCCGACGTCGAAGGCTTTATCGGCGGCCAATCCGCTGCGCAAGATCCGTGCTCCGCGAACGGGGACGCCGAGGTTCGAGCCGATTAGAAGACGTAACCGGCGCGCGATCGATCGGCGAGCTTAGTGCGCGATGTCGCGTCGCGAATTAGCACGCGCGTGAGAGAGTGCCGTTGTCGTAGAGAATTTGCCACGAGTCCATCCTCGGTCCATCCTCGCACATCGCCTCCGGCCCGGCTTTGGGGAAGTGCTAATAAGCACACCGGTCAACGCACGAAGCGCTGAGACTCGCGAAGAGTCGGACTTGCACGCGGCACAATTCGGGTAATTATTGATCTGTTTTCTTTTTCTTTTTTTTAGTTTCAACTGATACTCGTATTATACTCGTATTGTATTTAAAATGAAATAAATATACATTAGACAAAACGTTAGATAAAAAGTTTTAGAACAGCCCTATGCAGGGCTGTGCTCAATGCGACCATGTGCTCGAAATGTGCGCTTCAATAACTTGATGACCGCTTTATCAAAAAAAGTTGGAAGAAAAAAATGTATATTATTTGGATTGATAAGAAATGTCTTGGGGCGAAACTTTAGGTTATCCGGGAATAAGAAGATATAATTGCGAAGATTATATTGCGTTCGAGTTGAGAAAAAATATACATAGACATAAATAATTAATATTATACGTGTAATTATATAATGTTATAAAGTATATATATACAATTGAATACAATTGAAATTTACATAATATAGATACATCTCTACTTCATTTTCATTCCGTTGACACTATCAATGACTTGATATTTCACACAATCGGTTTAATCCTTTATAATCGAATTCTTTTGTTTGTGAAAAAATTACACCATCAACTAAAAATAAGTAGAGAGAAATGATTAATGAATTAAAACTTATAGAATATATATAATGTATATGTAACTTCTGTCACATGGCGTTATAGATGCATTGTAAATATCACTGAAAGATAAGCAAGTCTGTTAAGATAAGCAACATACTTTAATAGCACGCGTGTATGAAAACTACACGAAGCGCATCGCAGGCGTGTTTCGGCCATTATATTGTACCAGCTGCAACGGTATCTATGCAGCTACTATTCGCTGAAATGCGTTGCACATGTGACCGCGTCAGGTCGAGAGAAATAACCGGCATGAAATATTTTCCGCAATTTATGATAAAACAGCACGTTGCACTTTGAGGGGCGCGCGTTCGCAGTATAACTTTTCCCTATAATTTCACGTTTCCGACATATTCGCGCCACAAGTAGAAAAATCTTAATGGAGCACGAAGCATATTTTTGTACGTATATAACTTCGGAAATCCCTCTGCTGAACTTTGCTCCGCTCGCATTGTGGAAATATCATAATCGTATACTTTCGATCGAGGCGGAAAAAAAAAAAACGATACGGCGTAGAACCGGTATGAGCAATTAAATTCTTATCTCCTTTCTGGTTTGCCAAGCAAAGATAATGTGAGCGCTGATGTTTTATATATATTCATTGATGGATAATTTAAACATGTTAAACAGGAAGCTGCATATATTCTTCGTTTTTGGAGGCAGCGATTATTTTTGCTAAATTCGAATAAATGTTGAGGAATATCGTCATGCGTTTTCAACGAACCGCCAGTTATTCGGAGTCGTCTGGCGGAGAACGCGGCGAAAAAGGTGATGAAAAGGGATATTATGAAACCGCGTGTGATCACCGCCGATTACTGCGATGCATAATGCTGAGGGTATAATGGATCTTCTACTTCGCGTTTCTCCATACATAATACCGTACCCGTGAACTCTACCGTAATCAGACGTAAATGAAAATTGAATTACGCGCAATCCCTCGCGAATGTCGCCGGTGCAACGTGCAATATTACAAAGCGCTCTGCCTGCGGTGCTGAACATGAACTTCATCTATCAGTTATATCAACCTTGATGAAATAACACCTGTAATTAGAAAACGAAGAGCGATCGAGAGGAACAGGGAAAAAAACCGAAAATACGAATCGATTCATTTATGCTGACGAATAAAACTCGCAGCCATTAATTTACAGATAGTCTACATTTGCAATGTAGACTATCTGTAAATTAATAATTAAAAATAATAATTAATAATAAACAATAATTAGGTAATTATGTTGCCTTATGAATTTTAATTTGTCTCATATCTGTTAAATCAGATATTCTGAATAATTTATTTAATTATATAAAAATATTGTGGTTTTTGTATGATATTTCATCGTGGTTTTTGTAAAATAAATTTACATCAACTATACACGTTTTTAAAAAACAGATTATTTAATGGTAATTAAAGCAACTATGTTAGAATTTTCAGATTACGTAGCGAAAAATACGTCGTCTGTTAAGGATATGCATAATTTCTGCTCGCGTATTTAATTATTCTTATTATCTAGAACTACATATTATTCTTGCGAGATCTATCTCTCTTTTATTCTTATTCCTTTGACTATAATATTTTTTTGCCAGTATTCAACAATAAATAAGTAATTTTTTAATATGATAATTATCACACATTCTTGCTTCCAGGGAATGCCTAATCTTTTGTTAATTTTCCACTGTTAATATTTTATTTTTTTATTTTCAGTTGTGTGTACATATTGTAAGTCGAACAACGTAGCTTCGATCATGGTGGAAGGCGGGAAAAATAGTATGCAGAATGGTCTGCTTAGTAACGGAATCAATGGGTAAGTTTCTAAAAATACATATTTTTCTGTTATATTTTCTTTATCCTTCCCAACTGTACGTATACTATAAATTAGATAAGGAATAAAAATGAGTATCCCTTAAGCTTCATATCGACGACCCGAGCTAAATTGCCGCGTTACATTAATAAACGAATAACAAGATGTGGGATAACAAGGTAACTCAGAAAACGGCGTTCTTTAAACGAAGACGTTTATGAAACTTCACAGCCTGCGAAGACAATGCAATGCACTCACTTAGAGTATTATCGCGCAATTAGAGCAATGCTATAATATCGATCATCGTTATCGTCGTGTTTGGCAGCGTTGACTTAGTGTTATCAAAGAAGTACCCTCGCCCGTACACATGCTTGATCATGTTTTCATTTCCTTTTTATCGAACAATATTTTCGCACATATGACGTTAAATATTCTAATCGCATAATGTAAATGTTTCTGAAAAAATACTGATCGGACTTCGTTTAAGTACTTTGGAATTGACAATTTTTTTAATCATTCCAGCTGATCGTGAAAGCATTGAGAGCACAAAGTTCAAAATAACATATATTTAATAAACTGAATAATTGTAAAGACAGTAACTGTATATTAATTTCATAATTAATTAATTTTATAATTTTGTAACTAATTATATATTTTGTTTATACATACTTATTTATATTTTATATTATTCCGAGTTGAAAGCAATTTATTTCACATATACTGATTTAGCACTATAAAAATTTTGTGATTCAAACTAATAACCTTGATCAAAGAGCTATGATTTTTTTATGATATAATTGATACGAATAATCGCTGATGAAATCATCTACTTGATAATCGATGTGGAATAATTCTCGAGATACTTCGGAGTTTGAACTTTGTTGTTCCCAATGATTAAACCTTTGATCTTAATAAAGCTGCCAGGAATCGTTTTTCATTATAGTATTAAATACTTACCAGCGAGACTAGATTAATTCTTTTTGTCTTTTATGTCAATAATTTCGTTCCACTTTATGCGTCTTGTTGAGAAAATTGCTGGCAATTTAGAACGTGATAAGAAAAAAATATGACAAACATCGACGGTAAAGAGGAGTCATCAGTTTGTGTCATATTTACGTAAAATGTCTCGGTAGAAGTCAAGTTACTATTCCTCTTCTTCGATTTTCTTTGACCTTGCACTTGAGATGCTAGAAGTGCATCGCGAAGTGCGTTACGAAATTCGCCGCGATCGTTGTAATCATGAGAAAAATTAGCTGATTGTATTCTCATCTGGGAAACTTCACCGCGTGTATTATCGACGTAACGATTATGAACGATTATAAACATCGTTGCTGCACTTTGCACCTACTTGATGCTTGATACTTCGTTCTTCATTATCTCATCATTCGTAACGCATTGATTCTCGAACGGGTATCAAGAGATATCACCAAGGCTTCTGTACGCGATGATAATTGAGCAAGATACGTATTCCGCAGTGATGGAAAAAAAGCATCTCCCGAAGAAGCAAATAAAGTGGATATTTGTCTCATGATGAAATTAAATGTTACACTTATATAATTTACAAAGTATCGCACAGTTTTCCCCTCAAGATATTATTTTCGTCGTAGAGAATCAAAAAAGGTCATCATCAGATTCCTTTTATAATTTCGAGATCGATGGTTAACGTGAAATAACATCTCTTGCGCAATCGTGGTAAGATATAATCATTTATACGACCCATTCTATTTTGGTTAAATGATAGGTCTCTTTTGTGAGAGACAATAGCAGGTTTGTATCAGAATCAGTTGAATCATTGCGCAAATACAAAAATCTTTTTTCGATCGACTATCCTTTTTTTCCCAAAAAGAAAAACAACTCGAACTTTACTAGATTTTTTTTATTACGAAAACCACGTTTGAGCCCACGTATCAGATCTTTAGAATTTAAGTTAACGAAGCATCATCTTGATTGGCAAGTCATTAGAGATAATTTTTTGTGGCGTTCACCTATTCGCTGCACGTGTTTGCAATTGCTAGTTTACATAATTGCGATTACCTAGACAATGAAAACTTTATTTGAGGAATACATTTGAGGAGAATTCATCTTATGATATACTTTGTTCAAATTGCGTCATCGGAATTCTCATTTTTCGTTTCGCGCGCTCATCTCTGACCCAGCCAAAGTCCACTGGCATGTGCATTATTGACACGCATGATCTTTAGGTGATTTACGAATTTAAAGCTAAATAATATAAATATAATATAAATTAAAGTTATTGCCGATTAGGTATAACGCGAGCACTCCTTTCTCTCTCCCTTCCCAAAAATTTTGTAATTTGTGTTATCTTCTCGCGTCACACAAGCGATTTATAGCGAATATTTATAGCGAAATGGGCCTTGCGGCGTTTGATACGCCGTACATGAATTATCATCGGATTTTAATTGACATCATCAATTGCGATATCGAGAAACCAAGAACGCGACAATTCTCCACGATCGAGTAAATACGCCAGCGAAATTTCTTCGTGGCTGATAGACAGATATCACGTCCACTGGTGACTCGTTTGAGCGGACTTTGAACTTCTCTTCCTTATTGTGTAAGCGATGTTCACTTCGATAGCTTATTCGTGGTTCATTCACGAAATCAGTCTGTCAATAGGCCATTATTATGATTCTGCGGAAATTTATTCCGCAAGAATATGATGTCTTTAACGAATGGAAATATACGCGTTTGGTCATATCGTACACTTCTTTCGTTAAAAAAGAAACTGCTCGCTCGCTCATTTTATCATCAAGGTTTTGCGATTCATATGTCTCTTTATAAAAATAAGAGATTCTTCCGCTCTCGATAAATCATTTGAGAAAAATAAGAATGTTGACGGACGAAGTTGTCCAAGTTGTCCAAGAGTTAGCATAAATTTTTATCTATTTGACGATAAATTTCCGTGCTCAACAGTTCGTTTATTTTGTTCGCAGAACTTTTATTCCTTATCTTTTTCCGGGGCGTTAAATGTACAATTTTTAATAATATTCATAATGTAAGATACAGATTCGTATTTTATACACATATATATATATATATGTGTGTGTGTGTGTGTGTGTGTGTGTGTGTGTGTGTGTGTGTGTGTGTGTGTGTAG